GAGGTGCGTATGGCCATTAACATTGCGCTAGGAACTGAGGATACCATGGCAACCTTTGGTCAGGATGTCTTTGTCAGAATACAAGAAAAAGCTAGAGAGAAAATATTAATGTAAGAACTTTTAAGTGTTTCAAATATCTCTGTCAATGTAAAATTAATGTTTCTGTCAATGTAAAATTAATGTTTTGTTAATTATAAAAGGCAACTGACAGTATCTAAATGTAAACTTATTTAAGAATACACTTAATTGATGTCTCTATTGTTCTATTATTTCAGGTTATTGAAAAAACAAAGAGAACCAGTGCAGCCTGACAACTTTATTAAACCATATACGTGGAATCTGGTCAGTTATTACACATTAAAGGTCTTTAATATTTGCTGACCTATATTTATGGGATACTGACATTTCTATGTTAATGACATATTTTTCTTTTGAATGTAAAATGTCTGAAACAACAATGGTTTAATAATAATAATAACCTTTATTATCCATATAGAAATTAGTCTTACAATTTGTGCATTCACCAAACAAAACAATATAACTATAGAAAACAAAAAATATACATTCACACCAGACACTCATAATTTACATGTAAAAAGTTTATATCCGATTGTTAAATTTTATTTAGTGATTTGATTGCCAGGGGGACAAGAGTTTTTGTGTCTGTCTTTGCTATTTGTGTCTTGTATCTCTTTTGTGATGGTAAAATCACAAAATCCTGACCCAGAGGGTAATTTTTATTTCTAAAACCTTTTTAGCTTTCTTATGAACATTTTTCTCAAACAGCTGCCCAAATGGGGTCTGTTTTTTTACCAATGATTTTACCAACAGCATTTAGGATTCTCTGGAGTTTATTTTTATTTTTAGTGTACTGTGTTCAGATTGCCATACCAGGCAGTGATATTAAAACTAAAAATACTGCTGTCAACTGTTGGCTCTGTTTATTATAAAACAGAATAACTTGCATCCTTTACTTCAATCGGAGGCTTGCTGGCTGAGCAGTAAAGCAATTGGCTTCCGAACCGGTGGTCCTGGGTTCGAATCCTGGTGAAGACTGGGATTTTTAATTTTGGGATCTTTAGGCACCTCTGAGTTCACCCAGCTCTAATGGGTACCTGACATTAGTTGAGGAAATGTAAAGGCGTATGGTTGTTGTGCTGGTCACATGACACCTTCAATAACCATAGGCCACAGAAACATGATCTTTACATCATCTTCCCTATGGACCACAAGGTCTGAAAAGAGACCTTTTTAACTTCAATTATTAGTATATAGAATTACAAAAGTTGAAATAGTCTTTCATTTAGTGGCACCAAGTCATGTTTTATTTTGGGGGGCTTTAAGGCATCCTTGAGACCACTCGGCTCCAGTTAATATCCATTTGTTAAGCCAGGAAATATGAGTTGTTAATTGTTGTGCTTGACATAGAAGTAACTAAAACATTTTGGTCAAATAGTGAACTCTACAAGCCATGCAGCTATCAAAAGGAAGACACTTTTCTTTTCTGTACAACATAAAGTATTGTTGTTTTTTTACATATCACATTATTTTTGTTGTTGTTGTTGCTAGGGTTGAATTTTATTTTTCTAGCTAAGATCAGGGGTGGGTGTGGTGGTTCCAAACCGGAGTGTTTTTGGTTGTATCTTGGTAAAAGTTCAGATTTTGAATTTCTGGATCCACTCAACTCTAATGGTGCCTGACATTAGGTGGGCAAAGTAAAGGCTGTTGGTAATTGTAGTGGCCACATGACACCCTTGTTAACTGTCTGTCAGGAACAGATGAGCTTTGTATCATCTGCCTGATGGATCACAAGGTCTGCAAGGGTTACTTTTCCTTAGCTAAAAACACAGCAAGAATTTTCAAATGGCTGATGTTTTAAATTACAAATACTAATTACAGATCCCTCCTGAGCTTGTTCTGCATCATGACTTAACAGACACAGAGGCTGACTCGGATCATCTGTTAAAGCTGCACAATGCCATCTCTCTCAGCTGTGATAGCAGAAAAACGGAAAAAGACACATCCGCATCTTCACAGAAGAAAGAGTACTATGTGAAACATCTGGCCTACTTAGAGAAAATTTCTAAAAGGTGACCAACTCTTGGTGATTGAAATGTAGGAATAGATTAGTAATGCCCAGGGTGTATTAAAAGATTTAGAGGCTTCTAAATGTTAGATTTCAATACTGGGGCTAAAACACATAGATCTTTATATACGGCTTTAATGCATTGACCCAGTTCCTCAGCTAGGTTTATGCCTGTCTTGAAAACTAGTTGTTAAATTGACAAACTCATGACCTGACTTAAACATGTTAATGTCTGGAAAATTGTTGGATAGCAACTTGACTTCAACACCAGTATCTACTAGACCCCATGATCATCTTGCTGCTGTATGTTTTGGCTGAATTCTTTTCCTCAGTGAATTCCCACTTCTCACATCATGTTGATATAATATATATCTTCTCAGTGATATATCTGGGTCAATGTAAGAGGAATGAAACAGTAGGACGATTTTGTTTCATTCATGGAGGCTGATCCTTAAATGGCCAGGTTTTTGGTGTATTGGTGTATACAATATGGAAGTCTGGTTAAGTGAATACTATTTTTAAGCACTTTTTAGCTCTGGAGAATCAAATTTGAACTCTTTTTATTAATTTTGTGTGTGAAAATTCACAATACTGTCTCCAATCTTTCTAGATTTAAGGAATAGAAAAGAAGTAAAATTACATGGTTTTAGTGTTTCGAAACAGCATCATAATCTGCATTCACCACATCTATTTGATGGGAAGAAAGCTGACATTTTCTTCTGAATATGTAACTTTCCTCCTGGATTTATCAAATTAACACATCCAATTAAGGTTGCAGTGGCAATATGTAACTTTCCTTCTGGATTTATCAAAGTAACACATCCAATTAAGGTTGCAGTGGCTGAGTGGTAAAACGATATCCTCTAATTAAGGATCATAGGTTCAAATCCTGGTTTGAAATTTAAATTATCTTTGAATCCACCCTGATCTAATGGGCACAGTACATGGTTTGATCTTGTGCTGGCCACATGACACCCTTATTGGCTAGTTTCCAAAGTAATGGTAACTTCGCATCATCTTACAAAATATGTCTTACAAAAAGTTATAATATAATAATAATAATAAAAATAATCTTTATTGTTCGTAATATGTTATAAAGACTCTCACTATCCAGGCTGTCTGCAAATCGCTCAACATGACACTACCAAATCAAAGAACTTGACAACTCAGGGCTCCAAAATAACTTAACATGTTAATGTCCAATCAATCACAACCATTTCTGTACAATTGGCTTCACGTAACACTGACTGTACAAATATTTCAAAGTTAACAACTGTACCGCCATATCAACTCTTGTACCGCTGTATCAAACTCCACTACTGCCTTGTTTTGTATTTACACTGGGTTCAGGAATGACTTCACACACTGGTCTTATTGTGTTGATCTTGATTGTCAGATCAAGATGTTATTTCATACTCGTGAGGTGTTTTGTTTTGATACTACTCTGCACCAAACCGTCATAATGCGCCATACAGAATCACACTGATGAGCTGAACCGAATTGTGCTGTAGTAAAACCATCGAGACTGTGACACCTTTCATCTTTATAAAGGGTCCCTAAAGGCCTTCTAGAACCTGACAGAATATCACTCGTCTTTTCTAGTTGATGACATGACTGCATTTGATCCTTCCCAAAACATTGTCGTGTCATGGTTGACCGCTTGTCTTATGCTGGCCTGGGGCCATTCGCGTCAGCTAACCACACATACTACTACTCCTATCCGCAGCACCACCAGAGCTATAACAATATTTAGTATATAAAATGTATGTATTTTTATGATGTACATATTTCACAATGAGGTTTGTCAGAAGGATATCTTTGTAACTCTTGTGTTTGGTTTCAGCAATAAGAGAGAACCCATTCTCTGTGAGCTGTGTAAGGTACAGACAGCTTCCTCTCATATTCTGGCCATTCATCTCCTGACAGAACGCCATCTGAAAAATGTCAAGCTTGTAGAAGATGGAAAGTTTAGCTAACAGACCAGTTTGAAGAAATAGACGAATTGCGGCACTCAAAAACTGCGGCACTCAAAAACGTGGAGCTTCTGTATGACAAGAAACAAACGAGTAGACAGGCGTAACAAATCTGACAGAATCTCATCAACTGTTTTTTTGAACAAGATGACTAAGTGACATCGAGCTAAGACTTGTTCCTACATTATTTGTGTTTCTGCTTTTATTTACTTGTAGTTTTGTTATTTATTGAGGACAGTGAATTTATAAATAACAAACATGTGATTATTCATTTCTATGTACCAATTAATAAACATGTAATGTACTTGAAAGTGGTATATCAAATGACAGGATTAAGTGAAGTTTATGAAATTATCTAACTTTTGCGTCTAAGAGTGCCAATTTTAGGCGCGCAACTGGAAGGCACCTATATATCATACACTGATGTGACACTAGAATTACAGTATTATGAACTCTTGATATATTTGACATGACTTGTTTTATCAAACTTTTTAAAAATCTATATTGTATTTTTTTTCTATCAGATTTTTTATTTTAAATTCACGAGGGAAAGTTGTGATCAAGTTAAATGTCCTTAAATTGTATTTAGTTGCTGTCTTTCAAGATTGTTCCGTACAATTTTACTGATCCTGATTTTTGAAAACATTCTACATAACACTAATGTCCCTAGTCATCTATGTTATGTTCCAGCTTTAGTTTACCTGCACTGCAAATCTTGATTTCTAAACTATGAGTTAAATCTTGTTCATGTCAACAAATCTGATTATTTAAAGTTTAAGTTTTAGCAACGGCAACTATTTGTAACCTGATTTGACATTTAGTATACAGACATATGGTGTGTTGCTTGAAAAATAATACAGGTTAGCTTTGTAATCCATTTAATGTAAAGAGATTATAGATGAATTGTTAAAATGCTGTCAAAATGTTTGTCCAGTTTGTTTGTTGAACTCAGAAAAAAAACAAAACAAAGTTCAATGTTAATTTTTAGTTTGTTTTTATTACAATCTGTGACCTGGAAATGTTGATATTAAAGATGTTTTTAACAAATAGCTTTATCCTTTTAACATTTTTTTAAAGGAGCACAACCCATTGTATTGTGTACAAATAGAACTATATTCTATTCATATATCAAATAATTTGTATTCTTTCTTGAAATAAAAATAAATAAAACATAAAATTATTGTCTTTAAATGGATTGATTAGACCAGCCTTGACATTAAAGTTTTCTGACAATAAAGTCCAGACAATTTATTTTTAGATTATTTTATTTTACTAGATAGAAAGGATATTGTTAAAATGTCAGATTTCCAGAAAATGTCTTTACGAGTGTTTGCCAACTATTTACAGATTCTACTCTAACTCTAGATGGGTAATTTTCATGTTGTAATGAATGTAGATCTAACGTCTTAGTTATACTGAAGTTTGATGGAGTCTATTTAGGAAAAAAATGATCTCTGGTTAAAACTTGAAGGCTTTAATAAAGTAAACTCATTTTGTCAAATGAACAAATACAGGCGTATCTGAAAAAAAAAAATTCAATGAAATTTAATAGTTACAGTCCGACTACATTTATCAAACTAATCGAATGGACCACACATTTATAATCAAGCCAGTCAAAACTTGTGGGTTTATAACTTTGGCCTTAAGCGTCAGCTCATCTACTCCCTTAGCCAGGTTTTTCTGAATTCAGCAGCCCAGTTACCCAGGTGGAAACATCAATGAAAAGGACATGGCTATGCTTAAGTGTTTTGTAAGAATTGCGGAAGATCCAATGAGACTTTTCATAACGCGATTGCGATCAAATGAGATGTCAGTTTGTAGGACTCTTCATATAGGTCAGTGAAGTATTCCCCCGTTCTTTAATTCCTTAACACTGGCCTTCCGGTTCAGGGATTGGGCCTCTCAAGAATGAACAACTTGACTGTAATTGTATTGTCCTTATTTATGAAATTAGGTCAGTCTGACATTTGTTAAACAAGGAGGAAACCTATTCTAGCTGGCCTAAATAGGATACCGGTGTATGAAATGGGCATGTTTGTTTTTTTTTTCAATTTTTTTTTTTTTAGTTTTTGAGATCTAAGTGGAACGGAAGACCAGAATCGAGCTGGTGTACATCTAGGGCAAAAAAACACTTTGTATATGCCTTCACCTTCCCTTTAGTGTGTTGAACCGTTGGGCACTACACAGGATCTGTTGACTGTCTTCTTCATTCCTCTCTGTCTTTTGTCTATGCAACATAAAATCTAGATTCTAGGTGTTTACGTGCTTCTGTATTGTCTCAGTGGCCGTCTACGTTTAACAATGTAATAAAACAGACATACTGTTATAACCCTGCCATGCACACCGCCATCCAAGCTAGTGCAGAAGGTGCGCACTGTTAGAGACCAGACTGAGAAGGTGCGCACTGTTAGAGACTAGACTGAGAAGGTGCGCACTGTTAGAGACTAGACTGAGAAGGTGCGCACTGTTAGAGACTAGACTGAGAAGGTGCGCACTGTTAGAGACTAGACTGAGAAGGTGCGCACTGTTAGAGACTAGACTGAGAAGGTGCGCACTGTTAGAGACTAGACTGAGAAGGTGCGCACTGTTAGAGACTAGACTGAGAAGGTGCGCACTGTTAGAGACTAGACTGAGAAGGTGCGCACTGTTAGAGACTAGACTGAGAAGGTGCGCACTGTTAGAGACTAGACTGAGAAGGTGCGCACTGTTAGAGACTAGACTGAGAAGGTGCGCACTGTTAGAGACCAGACTGAGAAGGTGCGCACTGTTAGAGACCAGACTGAGAAGGTGCGCACTGTTAGAGACCAGACTGAGAAGGTGCGCACTGTTAGAGACCAGACTGAGAAGGTGCGCACTGTTAGAGACTAGACTGAGAAGGTGCGCACTGTTAGAGACTAGACTGAGAAGGTGCGCACTGTTAGAGACTAGACTGAGAAGGTGCGCACTGTTAGAGACCAGACTGAGAAGGTGCGCACTGTTAGAGACCAGACTGAGAAGGTGCGCACTGTTAGAGACCAGACTGAGAAGGTGCGCACTGTTAGAGACTAGACTGAGAAGGTGCGCACTGTTAGAGACCAGACTGAGAAGGTGCGCACTGTTAGAGACTAGACTGAGAAGGTGCGCACTGTTAGAGACCAGACTGAGAAGGTGCGCACTGTTAGAGACTAGACTGAGAAGGTGCGCACTGTTAGAGACCAGACTGAGAAGGTGCGCACTGTTAGAGACCAGACTGAGAAGGTGCGCACTGTTAGAGACCAGACTGAGAAGGTGCGCACTGTTAGAGACCAGACTGAGAAGGTGCGCACTGTTAGAGACTAGACTGAGAAGGATGTTGACATTAGAAGAGAAGAGAATGCAGTTCCGCCCAAGTCTAGAGCTGATCATGGAACTGGTGAAGATGCTGTGCTGAAGACCGACGTTGTTTTATTATGTGTGATGTCCCCATGTAAAGAAATATGGATATCGTTGAGTTACCTCCCTTAGGTTGTTACACTACTATTGGCCTGTTAGTTAGGGTCATCTACATATCATTCTTTAGTACAGGCCTAACATCCGACATCTTACAATTTAGACTACATTGTTCCACCGCTCAAGTTGCCTCCCTTAAATTTCCTACAAAAAAAAAAAAAAAAAAAAAGTTTGTTTTACATGTTTCGGATGAGCCCTCAGAGTTGAAGATCTACTTCCTAGTCCCGTAGGACGACTACTTGTAAGCTCTCACGTGTCTATGAAGATCTACATATCTTACAAATATCATATATAGGCCTTCACACGGACTTTTGATATAAATAGTATATATTAATTTCATTTTTATTATTTTTTTAAAATTTTATTTGTGTGGTGTAGCGCCGTCTTGTTGATGTGTTTTTTGTTGTTGTTTTTTTTTTTATCTAGCAGTGGCTGTGTTGCGATAAGTCCGTCCTGGGACAGAGCACACGGCCCTACCGCCCTGGATTAGGACATTCTCTTGGAATGCATGTTTCTTTAGTTCTAGTGAAAAAATATTTGTCCTGAAGGCAGGTGTGTGCAAAAGGATTTTTAGTTAAAAAATCCGAAAGGATTTTTAGTTAAAAAATCCGACACTGTGCAAGTTTTGCGTGGATGGTTTCGATGTCTGTGAGCAGCGTATACGATGTGAATGTGTAGCAGTGCATCGTATTGTATTCTAAACCAACCACCGCCAGAACCCGCTGTCAGACTCATTAATAACAGCGCTGATCGAACCTCCAAGAAAACTCCATTAAAAATGTACTTTTAAGTGTGTCAAAATTTTTCGCACATTTAGTTCAATAATTAGCAAATACATTATAACTGCTGATTTGTGCGTATTTCTCGGGTTGTTTACGACATCCATAGACATTTATATATGTCTATAACGACATCATATTTGTCGGAAAGTGTCCGCAAGTGAGATTTGGACAATCTAATCAACCAGGAATATTAATGAATAACCTTTGTCTTGCTCTTTCGGAGAACCATAGCATTTTCAGTGTTTGTCTTTAAAAAAAAAAAAGAAAGAGAAAATAACGGACGTTAACTGTTCATAAACTAAAAAACAATGTCGGATGTAGGACTGCGTCTGGTCAGAAATATTTGAGATCGTTCTTTGAGATGAACAGTGAAACTGATCTCGTTCTGTCAGCTAGATTTGTGACGATGAATTCATAATGCATAAAAGGCGTTCTTATAAAGTATAAACCAATGAACAAGAGAGATTATTATGAACTATAAACAACTTAACTAGATAATGTTGACCTCTCGACCGTGTTGTACAGTCTGAACGCGGATTCTTTAACATGTTTGTTTTGTGCTTTATTGTTTGAAATTTAAACCAAATAAAAATAATAAATAAATAAATCCAAATATGTTCGGTATTTTTAAAAGAAGAAGGGGTGCAACAGAGGCCTTAACTAGCTGCCTGGTCGTGCGGTTTGCACGCTGGACTGTCGTTCAGATTTATCGATGGTCCCGGGTTCAAACCCTGCCCGCTCCCATCCCCCGTCGTCCTGCGGGAGGTTTGGACTAGGAAGTAATTATCTTCAACTCTGAAGGAACATCCGAAACATGTAAAACATTTTTACAAACAAACTAAAAATGTTTTACTCATTTCCCGAGTTATTAAAAAAATATTTTATAATAAAATATGATATATCGGTGGAGCCATTTATTAAAAATTATATTTTTGTAAAGCAGTGGTTCTCACCACACAAAAAGTTGGGGTCAAAGGGGAGAGAGGGAAGGAGATTGAGAGATCTGAAGAAGAAAGAGAGAAAAAGAGGGAGATAGATCTAGAAATAAGGAAAGGGAGATAGAGATAGATTATTATAATATACAGGTCAGGTTACGCCCCCCCCCCCCTCCCCAAAAATCATGGGAACAAATCATCGGGCGTAGCCGGTGTCTAATAGGGCCTACTCTATAAATATATAAAAGACATATCTATATAGATCTAGATCTAAGTCTATGATAAAAGATCATTAATTTCTTTTTTGTTTAAAAGTATCATTTTAATCGCCTTGGAAACTACTATTAGTTTTTAAACTGCTGATTTCATTTCCTTGTTCTTTTTTTCTACTTTCACTTTCGTAACAAAGTTCGCCAGGGACTTAGATTCTAGACCAAGACTCTAAACTAGTTTTATCTTTTTTTTTTTAAATTTATTTTAACTATTCTTAAAATGTTTTGAAATATGCATAAGATACCATTTCTAAATTACAACTATGTAGCTAGATCTAGAGCTATTGGCATTCTTGAATTAGATCTAGATTTAGATTACCTACAGTTACAGCATCTCCGACACAATCGCCACGGCCACAGTTGGTCAAAGTCAAATAGATCTACGTCAACAACAGAAAGACGACATACAGGCTGTCTTTTGAAACGTTCAAACCTCCCTCTAAATTCAAATAATAGTTTGTGCAGACATTTAAGTTCCAAACAGCAAGATGTAATATTGAATGTGTTTGACAGAAAGGCTAAACTTCTTCAAAAGGAGAGAGCAGCTCAGGGATTTCATGGAGAAGATGTCTCTGTATATGACTATATCAAGGACGAGGTAATTTAGCACTCAGATAGATTATAATATATATATCTAATTATGACTTTTAGATCTTATATTATTACTTGATTTCATAAAAATAACCTAAGTAGGCTAGTGAAAGATATATAAAAGGTACCA